GTCTGGCTCCTGGGGAAGCCACCCGGCGAGCAGGCAGGCAGGCAGGCAGGCGGAAGGCGAGGGAGCGAGGCCGCTTGGCGCTTCTTTGGAAGTTACTAAAGGCGCTCAGAGGGACTGGCAGCCAAGGTTGCCTTATATGCCTTGCTGAGAGAGGGAGGGGGGGGAGCGAGAGGGAGAGGCAGAGGAGGAGGAGGAGGAGGAGGAGGAGAGCGACATCTTCACACCATCAGGAAGGAGCCTTCCGACGCAAGCAACGCAATTATTCGCGAATAAAGGATCAGCCTCGGAAAGAAAATCAAAGCAGATATTAATGAATTCCTAGCCCCTGTGCATATTCATTGGCGCGCGTGTGGGGAGTGCATGTGTTACGTACCTATTCTCTCTTCCCCCCCCGCCCCCCACAATCGCCCTCCTTTCCATTTAAGACCGAGCAGTAAATTAAAAGGCGAGGATGCTTTCACCTGCAGCCTAGACAGGTTCCCCTGCTGACCTTCTTCGGAGATAAAGTCTAGGCTGGGCAGCAAGGCGTCCTCCCCAGAAAGGGAGGCAGAGGCCGCCCCCTCCGGCCTTGAAACCCGGTCCCAACGCCTGTGGGCGGAAGTGGTCCCACTGGCCTAAGGCGTAGCATCGCACGGGTCGGCGGCGGGGGTTTGGCGGCTGATTCCTCCTTTGGGTTTCTCCCTTCTCCTTGGCGCGAAGGAGGACGTCGGGCGATGCCTGAGCCTCGCTCCCGGGGCTACGATGGGGTGGGGATGGCACGCGTGCCCTTTAACTGGGGAGCACAGGCGGTGGGTAGAAGCGCTCGCCAAGAGATTTGTCGGCCCTGCTCACGGACAAGACCGTGTTGGCTGTAGAGTCTGTTTCACGAAGCAGGCGCCTGCTGGGAAGGATCTGAACCCTCGGCCCGCTCCTCGTTATAATTTGACGACCAGGCAAGGCCCACCGCGATTCCACCGCGCCCATTCCACCCACATTGCACCCGAATGGGTTCTTACGGTGGGCCGAGCCACTTTAGAATTAGGTTTGGATTTAGGAGTATCTTGAACAGATATCAACCCTCCAGAGGCCCTTCAGCACATTTCATCAGCCGAAAGTGGCAGTATTGCTGTGACCCCAAATGAGATAAGGAATGTAATTAAAACAAAACCCCACTACGTGAGAAAACTGGAGAAAGAGCGTCAAATACTTTATTTATCTGTTTTTTTCTTTTTCTTACAACGATAATTCGTTTCCTGTAAAGTATAGACGTTGGACTCCAATACCTATAATTCGACTGGCATTCAGGCGTTTGGCTTCTGGACCGGCTGAATTTTTTGTTTGTTTGTTTTTTTGTTTTGTTTTTCCCCCGCGTGAGGCGTATTACACAAGCATTCAGGCGTTTGGCTTCTGGACCGGCTGGAATTTTTGTTGTTGTTTTTTTGTTTTGTTTTCCCCCCGCGTGAGGCGTATTACACAACAGCGTTTCGCTTTTGAACCGAAAGGATTTCTTTTCACTTAGCGATCCGTTACAGGTCCATCCGAAATGCACCCATGGGACCCCCTAGGGTTGCGACTGCTTCAACCTCGGGCCATCCCGTTGTTTTCGAAGGGGTCCGGCCTTTGATGCCAAGGGACCCTGAAGGCCGGCGTTTCGGTCCATGTCTCGAGGCCTAAGAGGTCCTTTCTCTACACGCCATCCCGAGAAGTGAATCTCGCAGCAAGAGAATGTATGCGGGAACTGGGGTGGAATGGGCGCGTTAGGCCTTAGGAACGAGAACGGGTTTTGTTGGAAAAGATCGACCCAGGCGGGTTTAATACGACAGGAAAAAGCAGCCCTTTAGAACTGCAAAAAGGATGAGTTGCTTTCCAACTCTGACTCTCTAGATCCTGATGTCCTCCTTAAGGAACAGCTGGAGAGTGGGAATCCGCATTCGGCGGAGTAACAGCGCCCTCTGTAGGCGACTGATATTATTTTGCAATGAGCGCGACGAACGCTCTCTTTCTTGCCCGATGCAATTTAAAAGTGCAATTAAAAAGAAGTCATGAAGTGGGGTGGGATCGGGCCTCGGAGCTCTGTACGAATAATCTGATAGGGAAAAAAAAATAGCAAAATTATCCTTTGCATCATCGAAAAGAAATTCCAAAGAGAGCAGAAAGAGGAAGCCACTGCAAATACCTATACTGTACAATGTGAAAAACTTGAGTCTGTGACTCCTCCGCCAGTAAGACATGGTTTAACTGGAACTGAAAACAAAACAAAACAAGACAAAAAACAACATCCCTTTAGTCAGGACATAGGGATGGTGCGCTTTCAGGCCCTCCCTCCCTCCCTCGCCACCCCCACGCCCGCTATTTTTGTGTTTCTTCTTCTTTTGATCAGAAAACATTTCTACCTTCTCCCCCAGTACAGTAGAGTATTTTGTTCCGGCAAAGATCTGGCCGCAGTGTCGCACTCCTAATCAATTTGCTCTGAACGGCGCCGCAAGCCCCATCTCCCGCCTGCTCGCTGTATGAATAAGCGTGACAGTTCCCTGGGGCCACAGTGGATCTCGATAACTCCGGTCCGTGGACTTGGTTCGGTCGCCTTCTTCTGGTTTTGAAATAATCTGTTTTAGCGCCCTCTGCTGATCACCGTGTAACATTATTATCATCATCACGGTTGAATGACACTATTTCAAATCTAACCACATGTGCCTGCGTATCTGTGCAGGCGCAGACATTTCCCTCTTTCCTTTCCATTTTTTGACATGCAAACATACTAACAATGTGCACAGTTTTTCGCTTATCAAGCCAAGCCAGATAAGACTCAGGAAGAATTATGTAATCTTACTATGTACTACTAAGAAAACAGGTTCATGGTTTCTGAACATGCATAGAGTGCCTTTAAGTCCCTCCATCTCCAGATCTGAAGTCTAGAAGGACATTACATTTTCAGAAGGGCTGAACAAGGGGCCCTAACTGTAAATTTGGGCCCTTGAAAAACATTTTGAACTAAGGCCAAGCTATCCTTCCAAGCAAGAATATTCACAACTCAATCCTAAACATGTTTGCTCAGAAGATTGATCTGAAGAAGACTTAGTAGGTGTAAGATCAAGCCAATAGCCTCACTCAGCTAATCTGCATGGTCTGTTGGGCTGATGGTGTAAAATGCTGTTTTATCTGTAATAAATTTGTCCATTACCAGTTTAAGTCAATAATGATGATAATGATAACAATGATGGTTTTATGTATTTTTAAAATATGGATATAATTTTATAAATGGATATTTGATTCATTGTGAAACTGTCAAATGTTCTCATGGTTTAATTTACCATTAGGTGACACCCTTGTCTCATTTAAAAACAAAAACACAGAGCCCCATTCTATATAAAACTAGCAGAAAAATCCAAATAATCATACATTTTAAAAATTGATATTTATTTATTATTTAAAAAATAATTTATACCTTCCTTACTCACCACCACAGAAAAGAGTTATTTGAAATAGCAGCCCAGAATGTATAAAAATGCAA